CTCCCATCCATCCCGCCCCCTGCCCCTTGCCCCCTGCCCCCCGTCCCATCCCGCCCCCAGCCCCCTGCCCCTCCCCCTCCCATCCCATCCCGCCCCTGCCCTTGCCCCCAGCCCCCGGTCCATCCCGCCCCATCCCTGCCCCTGCCCGCCCCCCCCCGCACAGACCTCGGCTGCTGATCTTGATGTTCATGGGGAACTGGGAGGCCATGGCCAGCAGGTTCTGCTGCAGGGCGTGTTGCATCAGCCGCTGCTGCTCTTCCGCCATTAGCGCCATCTTCTTCTCGGGCGGCTCCCCCGTCTCCAGCTTCTCCCGCAGCTGCTCCAGCGCGGCTGCCTGGGACGCGGCCGCCGCCTGGGCCGCGGCTATGTGGTGCCCCGCCAGGCCGACGGGGATGGCGATCCGGCTGGGCACCGCTGCCGACAGGATGCCGTCTTCTGGAACCACAAGGCGGGGGAAGGGGCTCAGGGGCTGGCAGCCGGGTCCCAGGGCCAGAGGGTGGGCTGGGCCCCCTCCCCGGGGCCTAGTGCAGGGTGGCCCTGCGGCACTGGGTCTGGAGAGACTCCGGGAGCGGAAAGAGCAGGTCCTGTGCCCGGCCGCGTGGCGAGGAGCAGAGCAGCTCTCTGAGCTACTGGCCTCTCCCAGCCTCTGCTGCCCGCCAGACCAAAGCCCGGCCACGGGGCAGCTCATCAGGGCTGGAGTCAAGGTGCACCTCAGTCTGGACGCTTCCTCCAAGCAGCTGGGCTGCAAAGCCAGGCTGGGGATCCCCCCAGCGCAGGGACCCAGCGGCGGTGCCTACGCGCGGTGACGCTCACGTGCCCAGGGACTCCTCGCGGCGGCGCCGGGAAGGCATTTCCCCTCTCTGGGGGCTCGCCAGGGGCTTGGCTACGGAGCAGGGCACATCGCCTGCCTCCAGGACGCTGCCCGGGGTCATCCATTGGGACCAGCTGGGTGTATCCCGCCCCAAGAAATGCCTGCAGCTGCAGCCGAAAGGGGGCACCTTGGCCTCTTCCAATCTCCTCCACGCGGCTCCCCCTCGGGTGCCCATGCTCTGGGGTGTCCAGCAGCGAGTGCTGTACAGCTGTGATGGGCCAAGTTCCTTCCTGGAGCAGCTCCCGCGGCTGGATCCCCACGATCCACCCACTAACCAGCTTGCGTGCAGCACGAGGGACAGAACCCCGCATCGCCTCCCCCCGGGGCCAGAGGAGACCCCCCACTAGCTGCTGGCAGGATGCTGCGATCAGGCCCGATCCCGTCCCACAGAAGGCGGCCCCGTCCCCCATCTCCCCATCGCTGTGGGGCTTCCACGCCCCGCCCCACCCACCTTTCTTAATGGCGTGCACCTGGCTCATCTGGCTGCAGCTGTGTGTGGAGATGGCGAGGGCCGGCACGGGGATCTTCGGGGAGCCCAGCATGGCCGGGGTGCCCACGGGGGAGTAGCTGAAAAGCGCCGTGCCAAAGCTCTGCCTGCGCCCCTCTCGCCGGTTGCTGTCGATGGCGGCCTGGAGCTCGCCGGGGGAGCTGAGGGCTCGTTTCTCACATTCGTAGGGGTACAGGTATTTCATGTATCTGGAAGGGGGTGGGGGAGAGGGGGACACAGAGGGGGATGAGCCCCTGGCTGTGATTGGTGCCATATTCCACCCTTCCCCCCGGCCGGCTGAGACAGGACCCCGGACTGGTTAATGACCCCACGTGGTTCACAGCAACGCTCCCATCCAAGGACAATGGCTCCCAGCCCCACACACCCTGTGCTCAGCTACGCCAGGCCCATAGGCGCCCACAGAAAAACACCCATTGGCAGCTAAGCTGCCCCCTCCGCCCCCACCCCACCCTGCCAGTGCCTCTCACCTGCTGGCGACACCTCTGAGCAATTCCTCCCCCTCCCTCCTAGCACCTCCCACCCACAGCGTGGCGGCATGCAGGGAGCTGTGGGAAGGAGGGGGAGGAGCGGGAACAGGGTGCACTCGGGGGAGGAGGCGAGGCAGGGGTTTGGGGGAAGGGGTGGAGTGGGGGTGGGGGCTGGGGCTTGGGGGAAGGGGTGGAGTAGGGGTGGGGGCTGGGGCTTGGGGGAAGGGGTGGAGTAGGGGCGGGGCCTGGGGCGGAGGGCGGTCGAGCACCCCCTGGCTAGAGGGGACGTCGGCGCCTATGGCAAAGCCTGTCTGGCGTTACCATTAATGACTGGGTTGCACTGTTGCCTAGGCAGTCCATTCAGCATCAAGGCCCTACAGTGCTAGGTGCTGCACAAACTCGTGCAAATCCACAAGGGACAGAGTTAAGGTTAGGTGGGCAACCTTAACCCTGGCATTTACTGACTTTTGAGTGATTCCCTTGGCAGCCTTGATGTTCTCTGAACCACCCCATGTCCTTCGGATCCAAAACCGGCGGCCTCTACTACCTGAGCTAAGGGAGAGTCCCCGCAGTGGCAGAGGAAGGGCCTTCAGCGTCCCTGTGGGACGGCCACCAAAGGGCAACATCGTGCACATGCAGGCCATTATCCGTCATAACGACCACACCATCATCACTACTGCACCCGGTCAAACCTCCTGCGGGGAGCAGGAGCCACTGGGCTGGCACTGGGAATGGGTCTGAGCACTGGAGTGATCTAGCTACCACCAGAGAGGGGTGGCACTCGCTCTCCAAAGCCTGCTCCTCCCAATCTGGCTCACTCCTTCCCTTAACACCCCCTTACCCACCCTCCGGACCCTGCCCCCTTGGCATCCCCCAGCCCAGCCCTCTCCCGCCCCCGTGCAAGGCGGCGGCAGCTCACTGTGTGCGGAGTGTGAACGCCGCGCTAGTGATGGACGTGGGGAGGTTGAGGCCTTTGGTGATCTCCCGCCAGATCTTCTTGTTGATCACTTCGACCAGGCCGCCCTTCTCGGTCACCAGCCGGTACAGCGTGTACAGGTCCAGCACCTGCTTGGCCATGATGGGGATTCGGTTCACTGGAGTCCCTTCAAGAGACAGAGACACAGAGAGAGAGAGAAAGGGTGCGAGTGAAAGAGAGAACGCGTTTGCACCGGAGAGCACGAGGGGGTGTGTGTTCACGTGTGTGCCAGCAGAGAGAGGGAATGCAAAAGAGAGAGAGAGAAAGGGTGCGAGTGAAAGAGAGAACGCGTTTGCACCGGAGAGCACGAGGGTGTGTGTGTTCACGTGTGTGCCAGGCAGAGAGAGGGAATGCAAAAGAGAGAGAGAGAAACGGGGGGGCTGTCCGACATTTACCATCGCCACCCAGCTTGGCTGTTTCCTGGAAAGAGCCCGCGGACGCAGTCAGTTTCACGCTGGTGGGAGGAGCTGGGCAGAACCAGGAGAAGCTCCCCCCCCCCTCGCCCCCCAGCAAGACCCTGTCTGGGGGGCAGTGAGTCCCTGGTGGCTCTGCCAGCTCGAGGGCGCATTAGTGCTCGCTGGGCCGGCTGGTTCTGTAACACGGATGCACACGGAGCTAGGAACGGGGCTGAGATCAGCTCTGTGATGTTGTGCAGTCTATATGGTTTTATAAAAACATGATAATAAGTGAATATAATGTAACTGAGATAGTTTTAGAAAAATATGGTAAAAAGTTAATATAATGTAACTGGAATATGCTTC